AGAGCCAATGGGAAGCTGAACCCGGGCCTCCCCATCCTGAGCCCCTGGCCCTGGACCTGTCTCCATGGTAACCTCCTCCACCCATCACCATGACTTGCTTGTTAGCTGCAAGGTTTTGATATGAAACTTTAAAGTTTTCCTGGGCAGAGACAGGCCTGGCTCATGACTTGGACGTCGGGGCTGTAACAGCAACTGGGAAAGCGCTTGGAGAGTAAAGCCGGCTTCTCACTACCCAGAGATAGGTGTTGAGGATACGGTTTGCAGGGAGGAAAATCCTCTTTTCAGGCTGCATGTGCATAAATACTTAATGACCCTGATCGTCTACTTAAGACTCTTGCTCTTTGAGCTCTTTTGCGGAGCCCACCACCCAGCTCTCAAATTAATCACACCGAGGCTTATTATTTCTTATAAATGTCTGGTCTCAGCTTGGCTTGGTTTTTTTTTTTTTTTTTTTTTTTTTTTTTTTTTTTTTGGCCAGCTTTTCTTATCCCATCTACCTTATGCCTCTGGGCTTTTTATCTTTCTCTATTTCTGTATCTTTTCTTTCCTTCTTATTCTATGTTTGGCTGTGTAGCTGGGTGACTGGCCTCTTCTTTTCTGGCTCCTTTTTCCTCTCTTGCTTCTTTCTCCCAGATTTTTCCTTCTGTTTATTCCCTCTGCCTGCTAGCCCTGCCTATCCTTTCTCCTGTCTTGCTATTGGCTGTTCAGCTCTTTATCAGACCAGTCAGGTGTTTTAAGCAGGCAAAGTAACACAGTTTCACAGAATTAAACAAATGCAACATTAAGAGAATACAACACATGGGGGCTGGAGAGATGGCTCAGAGGTTAAGAGCACTGACTGCTCTTCCAGAGGTCCTAAGTTCAATTCCCAGCAACCACATGGTGGCTCACAACCATCTATAATGGTTGTGCCCTCTTCCACCATGCAGGCATACATGCAGGCAGAACATTGTATACATAATAAATATAATCTTAAAAAAAGAATGCAACACAGAGGCTTGGTCCTGCCCCAACTTAATGTGAAAAACTGTGTAGACTTCCCATGGGAGCCCTTACCTGTTGGGAGGAGTGGATGGGCTGGGAGGGAGGTGAGGGGGTGCGGAAGAAGGGGTGGTAGGGAGAACTTTGGTTGGAATGTAAAGTAAAATAAAAAAGAATTAAAAAGAATGTAACACATTTTTCATCATTAAACAAATGTTACACTGCAGAAACAAATGCAACACACCTTAAAATAATATTCACTACAGGGACTCTCAGATTGAAATGATAGACAAACTGTCTTTAGTGTTTCCCTCAGTTCCTTCTACTCTTCTATGTATTTTTTGGTTTGGTCTTTTAATTGCACCCCAGACTTCTTGTCCTTCATCCTTGATACTTTTTATTCTGCTTGGCTGAGTCTATTGGTGGTGTTACCACTGTTTTTCGGTTCAGTTCACTGAGTTTTAATTTCCAGCATTTCTGTGTGGGCTCCCCCAATGCCAAAATATCAATTTCTTTCCCTACTCATGCTCACAGAAGCAAAACCAGTTAAATGTATAAGGTCATCAAAACTAGGTGCAAAGTAGGAGAGAGGTGAGTCTCTGTGAGTTTGAGGCCAGCCACGTGTACGTAACCAGTTCAAGGCTAGCATGAGCTAC